TTTTTAGAGAATGCACGGGCAAAGACAGCACCTCCTGGACCCTAGTTTAAAAAACAAAACAAAACAAAACAGAATTTAACAGAAAAACATAACCTGATGAGTCTCTTCCTTCTCTACCTTTCGTAGAGGAGACTCAGCATCACTGGATGGTCTAGTTTGCTGGGCTGCTCATTTTCCCCTTTCTACTGCGATATATAACAGCACCCTCACAGCATATATTGTTTACCACGTTTACGTTCTCACAGGTCTACATGCTTTCTTGGAGCTTCAATCATTCTTAGACGATTATGAGTCTAATAAAATGATACTAACAGCACTGACCACATTCATAACTGCATGGTCTGGTGCCCGGTTTAGGCATGCACACCACACTTAATAACAGTACCATATAACTGGATGTATCAGAGATTCGAATATGTCAAGCAGTTCTTCGGTTAGAATCTTGACATGTGTGCTGTACGGCAGAGGATCTCCTCTCTTCATTGAATTAACTGGCAGGTTATCTATGGTGGCCCCCCGATAAACAACTGTGCCGACAGCCAGCCTGAATATGCCACAGATTTCACCAGCGAGCAAATTTACTGAAAACGTTTGAAAATGGGGATAGATATGCGTATTGGAAAAGTCATATTTTCTAAGTGAGAAGTAAGAGTCGCACTACAAAAAATCAATTAAAAAAAACAATCAACATTAGTTACTGAAGCCATATTTCTGGAGTGCTGTCCTGGGTCCTGAAATCATCAATCGGCCTGACCACGTGAACAATGTTTTGTCAGATAACTCCTACATATGACATTCTGTGCTGAAAATTAGCATTGCACAGATAAAGTTAACACATATATGTATGGGAATAGCATAACTGTGCCAGCATAACTTATTGTTATTATGTAGTCAGAAATGAATCAAGTCAGAAGTACCTGGTTCTATCAATGATAAAGCCACAAGCATCTCTTATCCTGATTGGTGGGTTATGTTGCATATTTTATTGATTACTGTTCTTGATTCCAAAGATTCCTTAATGACTGCTCAGCAGGATTCAGTTGCAATGGTTACTGTATCACTAATTAATATGATATGTATTCAATCGCTTTTAAACATCCCAGGTACAAGCATATACAAAGCACGAATATTACAAACTGACTGCTTTGGCTGCAAACGAACACAAATACTACAGAGCAGTCTCTGCCAATCCCCTGCAGTCACAGCGGGTTGCAGTATCACATGCCAGAATCCAGTCATGTCCTAATATCAGACAGCTAAACCAGTGCGGACTGCAAATGGCAGCAAGACCACTTACCTCCTGACCACAGCGCCTGCCAGCACATGGCCGTGACACATGCTGCTTGCCAGGAATGTTACCTTTTTCAAAGCTCATGTTAAACTGGGATGACGGACACTTAAACTACACTGCTGCAGAAACCACAACATTGGCTGCAGTATATGATGAAGTCTATCAAGTTGGTGTGCACCGTAATCTCATAATATGAATAACTAAAGTCAGCTTACAGAATGTGGTCTGAGCACTGAAAGACGTCCGGTATTGATACGGACTGAATTTTGGTACCTTACTCTGTCTACACCTTACATGTCCCACACATACATGCAGCAGTCTACATTAAAGCATCTTCACATCATCTGTGCTAGAAATAGTACCTTCTGAAATCCATCCAAGAGAGAATCCTCCTATATCCAAATAATGGGCAAAACCTGAATGGGTGTTTTGAATCATAACCCCACACTTCAAGGCTTACACTGTTCAACAACTGATCATGTAAGAATTATACAATTAACACTGTGCTGAATAACATGTACACCATTCCAATCACTGTGCATTTGCTTAGTGAAGATGCCACAGGTCTTAAACAGATTAAAAGGAGCCACAACAATCAAGGTGAGATACATCTATTTCAACCAGCCTGGTTAGAACCAAATCCATCTCTACACCGCAAATTCTGACTGTAGACACAAAGGGGGTTACATATAGCTGTTGAGACCATTTACAGGATACGTTCACACTGATCTGTAGCTATGCTAATGGTTTACTGTATTTCAAATGCACAATCCTTTACCTTACTTAGAGATATAACCACAGTCCAAAAATAGACTTGTGCTGCAAATACTCCCAAAGAAAGCATGCAATTCACTCAAGTCTTAATGGCTCACATTAAATCACGTTGCTGTTATGGATTTTGATATTTTAAAGTTAAAATTTAAAAATCATGAATTAAAGCCATGTATAAAATTTCGAAGCAAGCCAGAAAACCGCAAGAGGACTTTAGGGTAATATTGGATTAACGTTAAATACCACACCCACAGTGAGACCGACAGAAAGGAAAGGAATCGCGGTGGCCCTGATTCAACAGCTGGATTGGCATATGAACATGCATCCTCTCACTGCCTTCCCCTCCAGCTGACAGCACGGTTACGAAACGGCACGCAAAGGCTTTTTTGCCTGTTAAATCATGACGGACGGCACACCTTCATTAAAGTGGAAAGGATTCCCAAGACGGGAAGGTCTTTGCTTCTGTACCCGTTCCTATAACTGTCAACACCTGGCAACCACACAAGCGATGCCATGCCACTGTAAACAACAAAAAAACACTCAAAATACTTTAGGTTAAAATAAACACTATGACTGCTTTGGTAGGGACAACAAAATGGCAGCTGTAATACAGGCAGAGTCGATCAATCTTTCAGCTGGGCCTAGGTCTTCTACAGCTGCTGTCCACAACCTGCCGAAAAACGCAACTAAACACGGTCATCTTTGGTTCACCTTCCTGCCTTTTCCATCACACCCTTCTTACAGCATATTATGTGTACGTACATTTACCAATGCATTACAATAATATTACATAGATGTTGTGTGGTCATATAAAACGATTACGCCTATATTGAAAGGACTATTCGATAGGCAATAATGCATTTTAAAGGCTATGTTTTCTCTTATTTTGTGAGATTTCAACGTGGATTCAGGTCTGTGATTTGTAACCAGCGGCATTAATCAGCTCCTGGATGCAACGTAGATCGACGATCGTACAGTGACAAACACACGGACTGTGATAACCATTGATCTAGCATCACAATTTTAGACATACATTAAATAAGCCTTATTTCGTGCATTGTGGAATTATCATAATACTTAGGATTTTGGATTATAGGCACTGCGCAGTACGGCACACGATCCTGTGTGTTGAACGTCTGGTTACATACATACATAGCCTATTGCGGAATCCACGTAATAAAACAGCCGGTTTAGAAAATTAATGTGTGGGGGGATGTTTAAGATCTGCTCGACTGTATCGTATATTCTCCAGGATTTTCATAAATATATCATCTAGTAATGCGGAAATGTATCGTCTCATGGATACGTCTCTCAGGATAATTACTATTCGCTCCTGCTTGACGATTTAAATGACATAAAATTAAATTAAGCAGTTCGTTGTGATGTTTGGGGACTTTAACATCAATGGTAACATCTGCAGATACACATGTTGTGATTTAGGTCAGGATATTCATTCGAGCATATAGGAATACTGCTACATTTATGGCCATATACAATAAGTACATTTTATGTAATTGCATAAAATATACTCACCTTCCCACGAAGTTCTCCAACACCGAGCTTTTACCGGCACTCTGTCCGCCGACCACAGCAATCTGCGGGAGATCCAGGTTGGCATTTTGTCCGATGGCAGAAAATGCATCTTGTAGTCTATTTACCAGAGGAATCAGATCCTCCATCCCCCGGTTGCCCATTTTGTCAGTAAAGAGCCGCAGCCGCTCTTACGACGCGACGATGTAGGAGAGGGGACAGCCTTCACACAGCGCCTTTTCTCCCGTGCACTGCTGTAATACTCAAACGCTTTCAGATACCGTGCCCTGTATTTTACATTTAAAAGCACCCTCGATCACCATCCTCAGCCTCTGCAAGCACCTCTGCCGCTGCACACACTCGGCAAAGACAATAGGAGGGGCTGTGAAATTATTGTGTTTAGGTAAGTGGCAACATAATTGCACAGTCATTTTTACACCAATGGGCGGCGCGCTCTCACCGCGAGTATCGCCTACCTACGCTACCTTGAATTCTGGGAAATGTATTTTTTGTATTCGTACAGTCTGCGTTCCTTGCTAAGGTTGTGCAAGTTCCATCCATTCATTTTCTACCATAATAGAGAAAACCGTGAACGTTTATGGTATACCCCCGGAAATATATAGGCAAACACAGGATATCACTAGTTAGATGCGTGTGCATGCCCATCTGGTAGTTTTTACACTTTGACTGACAGGTACACAATACATAGTACCAGCATTCCAATGTTCATATATTATACAAGTTATATTTTTACAGAATGTAACACATCGGGTCATACGACGTTTATGGATTTTCTTCCTCTTTCTAAGTGACTAATTCTAAGTAATTCTAAGTGATTGCAGCTGTCATATAGACTACTTCCAGATTTTGGCGTCATTTCCAATTATTACTCAGTTTCATTAAAACAGCTATGAAACAACACGCCTACACAAAGACCAAAATTACATTTGACTTGTGAAACGGTCACAGAGGAAGTCATTTTATGTAATTACGCGTATTTCACTTGATAACGATAACTGACCTATCCATGGTGCTGAATAAAAAACGAGAAAATAAATCCGTTAGTGCCGTAGTGTAATGCGGTGTTGTAATGGCAATGTAGAAAATATAATTAGCTAAAGAATAAGGCCATGTCTATTTTATCAAATTGGTATAATAAATGTGTGCTATTATATACATTCCAAAAAATATTTAATTACGCAAATTATACATAATTAATCCATGTTTTCGATAATTCACGTACTGTTTACTCATAAATTGCGTAGTTCTTATGCATAATTCAGTAGAATTATCTGCCATCGCTAGTGGGACTCGTGTTCTATAGGTTATACGTCCATCGTATTAATGCCCGTGCAGTTTAGCCTCCTAACCATACAGTGGCAGTGCAAGCAAACATGGCGCTGAAATTGGCTTTTTCGGTGAAACGACGCAGGAAAGACTGTCGTCGACTCTTCATTGTAAACATTTTGGCGAGACGTACGGCAGCAGCTGAAGCGGGTTGATGTGCTCTGGTCTGCGCAACGGCTCAGGGGCCCGGTCGACGCGTCCTGGTTCGCGTTATAGTTTTCAGATGGTCCAGCGTTATAGCCGAAGCCGGGGACACGGTCCGTCGCTGAGATAAGCGGCTAGCCTTAGCCGAATAGCTACTTCAACAGCGTAAGCCTAGTTATTTATTCTGGGCTGGCGGCTACATAGCTATTTTTGCTTATGCGTGATCATTTGGTTAAATTAGTATACGGAACACCCGGGGTTTTAAACTCTGTTTTATTCTTATTATTTTATTTGTTGTTCGCTTCATATCTGTGCGGCTTAACATTTTCACTGTCCACGTTGTAGGCAGCTAACCGACTAGCCAGCATAAAATCGGTCCTAAACGGATCTCTGTGTGTATGATTCATTATACTCATTAATAACTCATCATTAATAACTTTCATATCATTAATAACTCATGGAGCTGTTTTTTCCCTATAAATAAAAAATCACGCTGTCTGCTTTTTCCAGCGGTCACCAGCCCCATGCTCAGAGTTTCTCACCATGGGTATTATACATTATAAGAGGTTTATGCTTGTGGATTATCATGCTAACGTTTGTTTCTCCCCCATGTTTATCAAAAGGGAAAGCTGTTTTTTTCTTTTACCGGGAGACGGCAGCATAAAACAAGGCAACATGTTCAGTCACCATCACCAGCAGCAGCAGCAGCAGTTCCACCAGCACCTGCGGCAGCTCCAGCAGCTCTTCCAGCACCAGCAGCCGCCGCCGCCGCCTCCTCCTCCGCCACCACCGCCGCCGCCGCCCTCCTCACACCACATCGCGCATCACCACCACCAAGGAAACCGGTGAGAGCTCGCAGGCGAGGCCGGGGATCTCCATCCGGGCCTAACGTGTCCCGATGGCGCAGGCTGAACTCCCGGCCGCTTTCTGCTTTTGAGTTAAAACCAGGCTGTGTCTCGAGTAAAAGTGATTGGCGTCAACGTGCCGGCTGTCCTGAAATCCGGAATGAAGCAAATTACTACTCCTAGGAAACCCGATCGTTTCAGACGGAATAGGAATGAGACTCGATCCTACTTGCAGTCGTCTAATTAAATATACTTAACTGTTGAATAGAAAGAGCTTGTATTCATGTATTGTTTCGTCTGACTGTTAAATATTAGCATCAGAAAGTGTCTATTGTGTAAACTATGCATGTATTTGCTGCGTATGTCACGCGTGTAGCGTGATGGATGTGTCGGAGGTGGCTGTGACTGCTTAGACAGATAACACTCAGCACAATATAGCGAATGCCGGCCGGCTTATGTCACGCCGAAATCATAACAGAATACAGTAATCGTATTATAACTTTACTATGATCTGATGGGGATTCCCTGGCGTGAAATAATTGTATTAGAACACCGGCTGCAATCGCAAATGTTCAGAATGTTAAAATGTATAATGTGTATTGACTTCCAGCTGCAGCATCCCGACCGATTTGTTTGACTCGTGGTTTGGTGGTTCAACTGCTGGTTCTCATACGCTAAGACAGCATATAAAACAAACAAATAATCGATCCCATATCAAATGAAATTACAACTAATCACCTGCAGTTTCAGACCAATATTATGCTGAAAGTTTAACATTTAATAAAAACGGTTGTTGTGCCCCATTTGCATGGACCGTTTTCATTTGATTTTTAACCGATCACTGATCAACATGGTCATCGCCTAATGCATTTTCATTTTGGAGCGACAGTCCAGTTGAGGTTGTGACTTTTGATGCTCCTCCTGTATTGTGAGGTGTTGTGTGAGCAGGTGCCAAATTTTCATAATCGTTGTTCTGTACATTATTTAGTTAGCCTGTATCTGTGTGCCTGTATGGCAAGGCTCATATTCACCGTGATTTTTAACAAAAGCTTGCTATATAAAAGAAGCTGGTTTTACATGACAAGTTATGAATACTAATTGTCACAGAAGTCGGTGCACGTTACACACACCCTAACCTCAGATGTGAATCTACAGGAAGTATTAATTCCATGTTTTTTAGTTTTGTAATTGAACTCCTTTATACCTGTATTACTCTGAGCCTTTTATTTAGCTTTGGATGAACTGTACTGCCAACTAGCTGCCTGTTATTTCAGACACACACTTAGAAAAGCCAGACCTCTTTAGTAACATCCAAATACTGTTTTATTTGTAGGGGCAAATGTGTAAATGTGAGGGTCAGTCTGCCTTGTCGCTCACCTAAGCTTTAAAGAGCAGTGCCTTGCTTCATAGCACCTGCTCAGTAACTCCTTTTCCTGGTTTCTGACCATATATGTACAAATTCCTCTTCTCTCTGACCAAGCTGTGTTCACCATTTGGGATATAGGAAGCTTTTGCTCGGTGATAGTTGTGAGGCAGCTTCTTGAGCATGATTAGTTCCCCATCGATTGCAACACCGAACGCAATAAACACTTTTCCTTCAGTTCCAAACCCTTAATTATAGAAAATGTTGCAATAATGCAGTTGGCCAGAGGCATTTTCCAATTTCCTGTTCAGTGACCCCTTAAATGTGGCTGTTTTTAATACTCTTGTTGATATTTATTAGCAATGCCTTAAATGGCGGTCAGGAATGAATTATAATACACTTTAAAAGCATCATCTCTTACCAGTGGAGTTAATTCAGTCAGAGGACCGGGCTTTCAGTTGCATGTCATCTCTCTTGCAGGCCCTTGGCCGCTGCAGCCCCAGCGCCTCCCCCGGCTCCCCCCCCGCCTCGGGTGGTCAACCTGTGCTCCCCCACCCCGGCCACCATCATCGCTGCCAACCCCATGCTGCAGGGAGCCTTGCTCATGCAGCAAATGCAAGGCACGGGCCGCCATTCGTCTGCATTTGCTTCTCATCCGTTTCCCTTCACGCGCCTTTGACGTGCTTCTACTGTCCTCCGCCCCTTTTAGGAAATCTTCGGGGGTTTGCGGTGGGGGGGCAGCAGTTCGCGCAGTTCTTCCCCGCCGGGGCCCGGCCTTCGCTTCTCGGCCCCGTTCCTATGGGCGTGGCCATTAAGACCCCCCACATGGGATTTCCCCCTCGACATTACCACCCTCAGGCACGCTATTTCAATAAGGTACCCTTCCTCCGGCCTGAGCTGACATCTTTCTTTGTTGCCATTTATGTTAAGAAGCTTAGCTGTGCTACTGTTACTGGAGAGATCACACATTGTCCCTCCCGCCGCCCCCAAAGTGGGCATGGCATACATTTGGATATCTGTTCATTTGTTTAGATGTCTCAGTGAGCACGCTTACGGAGGTGCTGGGGCCATGTTATTGTGATTATGTTAATAGATGCTTTTCACCTGTGTGTAGGACTTTGCCACGCGGCTTCCCCTGAGGAAGCGTGAAAATGAGCAGAGAGCAGCGGCCAGCACAGATAAGCAGCCTGGAGGGAGCAGCAGCAGGGAGGGCGAGGCCGACGAAAGGCCCGCAGACACAGGTACTGAGCAGAGCATCGCGCTCGCCGCCGCACAGGCTCATGTGACGAGCCGCGCGGTCACCTTGGCGACTGTCGGCAGTGTGCCGGGGTCAGCTGATGCTGTCATCCCTCAGAGCAGAGAGCGGAGGTGCTGGATGGACACGAGCCCACGTCCGAGGAGCAGCAGGGAGAACCAGCCTCTAAGAAGCAGAAGACTGAAGGGTATGACTCAAGAACCTGTTTGAACTTTTGACCTACAGCATTATAAAGAGAAAAGAGCAGCCTTATTGATGCCTTATTTGGCTCTAAATAGGTCTGAGGCTGAAGTAGAGGAGCTTCCAGGGGCAGACAGCGGTGCAAGGCCAGATTATGATGGCCTGGAAGAGGAAACAGAGCCTGGAGGTGTGTGTGTTTGTGTTCTGCATAAAAATCTGCTTTATGCAAAGCTGCTGTTTACTCAGAATGCCAACATACCTGTCCTTTAAAAAAACAGTTGTTCTTCAGTCATGTCTATTCGTATCATTCTCTGTTACTTTGTAACTGAGCAATCTTTGCCTGCTAGACTGCCTCCTGCTGGATGAGGGGGGAAGTACAGCTGGCACAGAGGCAGTGGAATTTGTGGAAGAAAGCAGAGCGACCGAGGTGAGTTGGGGACCATTCGGACACCAGAGGGTCTGGTTGGGACTTCATTACTCCTCCTGCCTGCATGCTGACCACCCCTGTACCGGTACAGGTGTTGGGCGTGGGGGCGTCCCTCAAGGTCACCATCCAGCAGAGCAGCGAGAGCCGTGCCTTCAGCACGGGGCTGGAGGAGCTGTGTGGGCCCACTGGGGGGGCCGCGGTCAGCCAGAGCGACAGCAAGGACTCCGCCAGAGAGGGGGGCAGCAAGTTCTTCTGCTACATCTGCAACATCACTTGCCACAACCAGCAGGTATGGCAATACGCCGAGCGAACACCGCTGGGGGGAGGAATAGAGGCAGGCCGAGCCTTTGGAAGGCGCGCAAATGACCACCGCAGCTTAGATCGTATGAAGCATTGAATTCTGGGAGGGCTCTCTGGGCCATCTGCCAGTCTGTCCGCCCACCCACACCTCTCACTCCGCCCCGTTCTCCCGACAGAACTTCCAGAGCCACATGAACGGCTTGGCCCACCAGCAGCGCATGATGGAGATCCAGCACATGAGCAATGCCTGCCTGGTCACCCTGCTGCCCCGCGTCCAGGACTCCCTGCAGGGCAGCCGCAAGGAGGGGTCAGGCCACACCACTGCCGCTTCCCCCTCACGCACGCAGGCTTAGCCGAAAACAACACAACAGTGATACTTCATTCATCTCTGTAGGGAAATTGGGGAGCTTTCACATATTCTGTCTTCCTTGCCATGAAACACACAAACAAATATAGGTGAGAGCAAAGCTTGGATTCAGATCATAAGGTCAGCCAGCACCCAGTGTCTCTGGAGAAATGCACATGAAGAGCTTTGCTCGAGGGCCCGACAGTGACATCACTGTTCCAGTCACTGGATCACTGGCAACCTTCTGATCCTAATCCACTCTGTCTCACTCCGCCCAAGATTGATGATTAGTTTCCTTTTAAGTCCCACCTCTTCACCTTGATCTCACTCGCTCCTATATTTGTTAATAATATTTTAAAGAGCGTGTCTGTTATGCAGTAGATTCTGGACAGTGTTTAAAGGTGAAGCGAGGGTTGTCCGGCTGCCAGCAAACACGCCGTTTGTCCCCTGCAGGGAGTGGAAGCCGGCTCTGCAGCGGTGGTGTACAACCTGCCAGAGCCACTTCTCTGGAGACCTCATCGAGCACCGCAGGACCAAGGAGCACAAGGTGAGGGAGCGCAAGGGATTCTGGGAGCAGCACCTGGGCCAGGGAAGCACATTCATTAGTGACCTGGACTTCATGGTGCCTTTGTACCTTTGTATGGTTGCAGCCTATGAAAATGTTCTCTTTGCCCCCCCCCCGTCTCCCAGCTGTCCAAGCACTCGTCGCGGCCCTTCTGCACGGTCTGCAGACGCCACTTCAGGACCCCCCGCAAGTTTGTGGAGCACATGAAGTCACCAGAGCACAAGCAGAGGGTGGAGGAGGTGTGTGTGTGTGTGTGTGTGTGTGTGTGTGTGTGTGTGTGTGTGTGTGTGTGTGTGACCTCTGCTCTCCGCGCAGGGAGCCCCCACTGCTGGCTACACTGATGCCATTCGTGTCGCTCATTTCTTCTGTAAAATGGTTAATTTTGTGTGTCGAGTCTTTCAGGGATTTATCTGCAACCGGTGAATGATGCTCGCTGACCTGTGTCTGACCTTGCAGCTGCGGGAGGATGGTGGACCGGAGGTCCTGGAGGAACTGATTACCGTAGATGCGGTGGGATGCTTTGAAGGAGAGGAGGATTATGAGGAGGAGACCAATGAGGAGGAGGAAGGGGAAGAGGAGGCCCAAATCCACTCTCAGATAGAGGTGAGTGTGCTGTTTGTATTTTTTTTTTCCACCTAATGCCTGTTGATGGCTGCTTGCCCAGAGGAAGCTGAACTTGCTGTGCGAAGGAGCTGCATTGATCTGTAACTCCGGCCTAGCAGGCAGGGCAGCCGGCCCAGAAGGAGGTCGCTCTGGAAGACATGGCGGACGACGAGCAGTACAACTCGGACACTCAGTACGGTGAGCATCGCACCATCACGCCGCAGCCCAGCGTGCAGAGCACTGTACTGACTGCTGAAACATATTCTGTGATGGACTGGCATCCTATAACCGCTGTACCCCTCCCGCTGGGCTTTCTGTACCTGGGATAAGCTGCAGGCCTCAGTGATCCTGACATGGATGGATGGATGGATGGATGACATTTATTTGGCAGACCCAAAGCAGGCAACGAGCCAACCAGTAACAAGTTCTACCAAGGGCGATAAATGCTTGAGGAGAATGACTTTTATCGGTATTTCGTTATGGAGCTCGGTGGCTGTGAGATAACAGACTAAGCAGAGCAGTGCTGAGTAAATGGCGAGGCGGGATGCAGACTCCTCCAGGCAGCCGGTCACGCAGACTGCTGATTGGTCCTCCCACTGCACGCCGGCTGTCCTTCACCTGCCGCTTCTCCCGTCTCTCCTGACAGGCTCCAGCTTCGTCGTCCCAGTGGCTGGCTTCCTCTGCAGGCTTTGTCACAAGTTCTACCATTTTGAGTCCACAGCCCGGCTTTCACACTGCAAGTCCCTCACTCACTTTCAGAACCTGCAGGTAGGGGGCGATGAGGCCCAGCAGAGTGACATTCCGTTTTGAACCCCTCCAACGTGACCGGCTGAGGGAATTATGGATAAACATGCAGTGAATCTTGCATGCCTGCTGTGTGTGTGTGTAATTGTTTGCAAAAGCACAGCTGTACCTGAAAGTGGAAACTTCTGGAGCTTTTGGGGTGTCCTATGGCATACCATATGATAGACCCTATGGCATACCGTATGATAGACCCTATGGCATACCGTATGATAGACCCTATGGCATACCGTATGATAGACCCTATGGCATACCGTATGATAGACCGCATGGCATACCGTATGATAGACCGCATGGCATACCGTATGATAGACCGCATGGCATACCGTATGATAGACCG